AAAAAAAAAAGAATTAAAACGAGCCTCTCCTCTGCCACACTAGAGAGAGCCACCAGGAGAGGCGCGTGGGACCCCTGGGTGCTCACCTGGGTTCTTGGGCTCCCCACCAAACAGCGCCAGGGCCAGGCCTCTCTTGATGTCCTCGTGCCCGTAGATGGAGGGGGCGATACTGGCAAAGACCTGAGGAGAGCAGGGGACACGCAGGTGAACAGGAGCCGAGCACTGACCCCTCAGAAGGAAAAGAGTCACTACCCTTTTTTGGGGGGCAGGGGTAACCAGAGGTTGAAGCCAGGGGTGCTTAACCCCTGAGCCCCCCATCCCCAGCCATTTTTATATTTTATTTAGAGACAGGGTCTCGCTGAGTGGCTCAGGGCCTTGCTCAGTGGCTGAGGCTGGCCTCCAACTTGCGATCCTCCTGCCTCGGCCTCCCGAGCCACTGGGGTGACAGGCATGGGCCACCGTGCCCAGCTATATGTACATGGATTTGTTCTCAACCTCCACAGCCCCTTGCCCTGCCAGGCTCTGCTTAGCAGCACCTGGAGACACCGCTGTGTCCCTCACACTGTCACCAAGGGTGACATATTCCACTCCTGTGTCTCAGTTTGTTCATGAAGGACATGGGCACAGAGGAGAGCCGCAGCCCAGGAGTTTGGGGGCTGTTTTGGGGGGAAATGAGACCCGTGGGCAGGCGGTGATTCTCCTTCGACCCTTCCTCTGCCTGGGGACTGCCCGGGTGTCACTGGGCTGCAGAGGTGGCCGGTCCCCGACACCGTCCCGCCCAGCCCCTCTCGCCTCCCGGGATGAGGTAATGTCTCTGCAGGACAGAGCCACCGGCCAGCTCTCTGCTTGTCACGCTTCTCTTCAACCAAGCGACCAGTGCAGCTGGATGTCTGCCCTACGCCCTGACCAAGGTCCTCCAAGAGGTAACAGGTCCTGGGGCCCAGTCCCGTCTTGGGCCTGCACTTCCCGAGGATCATTTAATCCTAACAAGACCCTGGTTTCCTTCTGGTCTACAAAGAAGGGACACTGCCAGGCGCCCCTGAGACCCCAGTGACTCGGGAGGCCGAAGCAGGAGGACCACAAGTTGGGAGGCCAGCCTCAACAGAGCGCTGAGCAACTCAGCGAGACCCTGTCTCTAAGTAAGATATAAAAAGGGCTGTGGACGGGGCTCAGGGGTGGAGGGCCTCTGGGGTCCACCTCTGGGACCCCCGGCCCCGCAACCTGCCCCACACACACACAATTCAAGAGGCCGAACGAGAAGCGAGGCTGAGAACCCGGAGCCACAGGGGGACAGGAAGGAGTGGGACCACGAAAATGACACAGACTTCCCGAGTGAAAGGCAAGCGTCTCCATTTCTGCAGAGATGCCTGCTGACCCGGGTGTCCCAGAAGGTGACCTTGACCTCTGACCCCCAGGACCCCTGACCCAGGGCACAGGGAAGTTCTACTGCTGATCCCACTGCCAGTGCTCGATATCAAAGCTGCTCCAGTTTGGCCACCAAGCCCGGGGGGGTGCCCACGAAGCCCGGTGTCCCCGCCGCCACCTGCCTTCTGCCCGATCTGCTGGTCCTTGGAGAGGCTGGTGATCATCTTCACGTCCTCGTCCGTCAGCTCCCCAACGGCCACCTTGTTGTCCTTCTTGGCCACGTGGTTGGCCAGGATGACGGTGGCAAAGACGGGGAAGCCGTGGGCGGTGTTGAGGGACCCGTCGTAGTTGTTGTGGTAGATGCCGGTCAGCTCCTGGGGACGGCGAGAGGCCAAGTGGTCGGGGCCCCAGAGAGGGTCACAGGATGGAGCTGTGACCTCCCTCTGGTCTCCCTGCCTCCACTCCCTGAGCTTGGCCTGCTAGAGGTGATGGGATGCCCGGGAGGCGAGGCCTGGCTGGTGAAGTTCAGTCACAGGGGGCGTGACCTTGACCTCTGACCCCCAGGAACCTTGACCCAAATTCCTCCCCTCTCTGCTTTCCGGGGGGGCCTCCTGTGGTCTGTTTCAACACCAGGCCCCAAAGGGGACAGGGCCAAGCAACCCTGAGGCAGAGGCCTCAGAAACCACCGTGAACCTTTTTTTCCTTATACGTCGATTATCTCGGTTGTTTTGTCACAGCAACGAAAGCTGACAGATACACAATCCGTCGCGAGCAGGAAAAGCTCTTTGCCCCAAGGACTCAGGACCTCATCTCAG